CCACGTACACACACAGACACAGACACAGACACACACACACACACACATTCACACAAAACATACACACACAGACACACACACACACACACACACACACACACACACAAGACACACACGTATACACACACACACACGAATACGCACGCACATGTGCACACCCATATACACACACGCACTCTTTCCTCCCACATTCTCTCTTCGACACACGTCTGTGCACATAACCATAATAATACAATAGTACGCTGGCACTCACAAACAGGCTCACAGTCAAATGCATAATAGAAATGAACAGTAATTATAATTATAAAAATTACTAGTGTTAGGGTAGATTGATCTATGTGTACCTTAGGAATCTAACTTAGATCTACAGCATGCAAGTCAAGAAACCTAATCTCTTTTCCATAGACAATGATCAGACAAAGCTCAAAAAGCTAACCAACCAACCTTAAAAATTGAACCAGGGTCTATTGCGTGCAAAGCAAAGCAAAGAGCCTAATCGCTTTTCCATAAACGCTGGTTAGAAATAATTCAGATAACCAACTAACCAGCCACAGGAATCGAACTTGGGTCTACTGCGTGTAAAGCAAGAAGCCTTCATCCTTTCTCCATAAACCCTGGTCCACAAAGCCAAACAACCAACTAACCTTAGGAATCGAACAAGGGCCTATTGCGAGCAAAACAAGAAATAATTCAGAAAGTCAATTTAAAAAACTTAGGAATCGAACTTGGATCTATTGCACGCATGAAAAGCAAACAAAAAGCCATAATCTCTTCTCTACAAACCCTGGTCCTGAAAGCGAATCAACCAACCAGCTTCAGGAATCGAACTTAAGTCTATTGCGTGGAAAGCAAAAAAACCTTATCGCCTCTCCACATACTATACAACCCTTCAGACTGAGTCGCCCAGCTTGTTACTTTAGTTTAATAAGCACGAGTGGTCATAGCCATTCTCATCTCCTAACGACGTTACTCGGGAATTTTGTCCACAATATCGATGACATTTTTCTGAGTCATTTTCTGCGAGTAATCCGTTTTCAGTCCCCATAGAGTTTGTTGTAGGAAAGAGGTTTGGAAGGTCCGGGTCAGGAAGGAAGAGG